CTTTCACGCGCTTTAGTATCCTCACCCAAACCGCTGTAAAACTGCGAGACCAACACCATGATCTCTGCCAATTAATACATATTCAGATGCGAGTTTAACGTTTGCGGACTGAAGTGCGTTTAGCAAGAGCAGCGTCTCACAGGACGAGCTCGGTGCCGGAACGGATTAAAGTCAACTGGAGTCGGTTATCTTGGCCAGTACGCAATAGTTTCCAGCTATCACATATTGGAGGTTCACCCACTGCCAGCAGGTCAAGATCTCAGTAGGTCAAGACAGGATTTATAACTGGCAGTGTGCTGTTGCCTCTGTGTAATCGATAGTACGATTGGCTCAACCCGTGAACGCCATCATTGGAAAATCGGAAGATTGGTCGGACAGCCTAACCGCCAACCACGCCTCCGGGGTGTCGTAAAGGAGGGCTTGGCAGGAGTTTTTTTCTACAGAACGGGAACGCTCTCGTTCTGATAGCTGAGACAAGAGGACAACGTCTGACGTGTCGGACAGATAAACAGCGGTATGGATTGCTCACCCGGAAAGACACTGCGCCCTCAGTTAAGCGGCAAAATTCCTCTTCGTAATGCAGCCGCCGTCGTTGGCCGTAGTACACACAGCTTGAAGTCCTCATTTGCTTGTTACGCATTACATGCTACAAGCGTAGCGGATCAGTGATCTGCTCTTCCACACGATACAGACGGACAAGATGCTTGATCATTTTCTAAGTTAAAAATATCTAGAAATTACAACCAGAACATGCTAGAGCAGTCGGTGTTGAGACATCAGAGGGGATAAGTGTAGGCCAATGGCAAATTATCAATTCTGAAGCAAAAAATAAACTAAGCAAAGACGCGATCTGCTCACCTCGTCGTTCAAACACAGTGTGAGCAGGGGGAGCATGGTCTCCAGGACCTCTTCACAGTACGGCGCAAAGCCTTCCTTCAGTTCTCTGGCGTAACAGACAAGCATCTGGCAGGCCGTTGCCTTGTCCTCAAGCGTGCTGAAAAAGGGAGCAATTTGTGAACTTAGGCTCGTCACAGCGCGTTGTGAGTTTCACAGAAGGGCAAAGGGCAACATAGGGCGGGGGTCAGTGTGCGGTCATGAGCCCCCTTTCTCG